TCATTGATAAATTTTGACAGAAACAAAAGTAACATTTCTCAAACAAAAGCAACTACATTTCATTGATATATTTTGACAAATACATAACAATGTTAACAAAACATTTAACAGATACAATTCAACCTCCTTGTTCACAACTACATGTCATTACACAAAAACAACCAACCTAAAAAACTATTGTTACAAATATAACATTAAACAATAAGCTCAATATTTCAATGATTATAGACAATTTCAACCCTAGGAATGGAGACAAAATGAAAAAAATGAGATGAAGAGAACAAGATACAGAAAACAAGATGAATAAAACAAGATGAAGGAAGCTACAAGAAGGAAGATGAATGAACCATGAAGAAGAATATGCTGAGAAGAAGATGCAGGAAGCCACAATCGTCTTTTCTGGAAATCATTGCCATGAAGCAAATATTTAACCCTTTAAACACTAAATTAATTATTCATTTAATTACTAGGTATACAGTTGGAACGCCACCATGACAGTAACTAACAGTCCAACACATGAATGAACGGAATGGATCAAACATGTTAACGGAAGTAACATTACGGGACCAAATCGAATAGTTTTTTTTATTGAGAAACTATATCGCAACTCATAAATAACTTACAAGACTTGGGGACTAATTATGCCTTGTTTTAATGTTTTTTCTTTGGCTTTATAATTCTTCCATCATATTTTTTTGGTTTGACTTTGTAGTTTTTGATATATCTTATGTCACTCTTCTTCTCACTTATTTATTATTTATACACTTCTTCTCACTTGTTTATTGTTTATACTCTTCTTCTCTTTATTAATATTAATATTATTTTGGCTCAAAAAAGCACATATCAATTGAGTATTTGAAAATTTGTATTTTTTTAAATACGCAAACTAAAATATCATAAGGTAAATAATTAAAATTATAAAAAAAACATGAAATGTTGTAATTTCTGAACAATAAATGTCCATGTGTATGTTCTAAAATCACAAGAAAAGTGGAAGTGAATAAATGTCAATAAATGCTTGGGAAATAGTCTCACATAGAAAGTGACACTCACATTAAAAACCTTTATAAAAAGTTATGTTCATTAACTCAATAAAAAGACAAAAGATGATAAAGTGTCACATGGACAAGTGTGGTGGTCCCAAGCATTATGCCATTTGTCTCCTCCATACAATCCCTCGCCGGTGTCATCATTGGCGACATCGGCTCTAGGTCTGAGAGCATGGGCATAAAGGCTCTAGTGGCGGCAGAAATTGGGCTACTCGCAATGTTATACGGCGGCTTCGACAGCCGACCTTCGACCGACATGTGGTAAATGATTGTTGCTCTTATTTTAGTCGTTGCTTGAGTTTGAATTTTTGAATTCAAAAATATGCAACATTTCGTGAAGTGTTACAGGATGAAAATATGAAACTATTGGAAAACGTAGTTGTAGGCGAAACAACACAACTTTTGATAAAAGTGTTGCTGAAAGGATGTTGTCGCATCAAGGGTCGTAACCTTGTGAAACAACATAAACATGACCTATAAATAAGTCATTTCGAATTCATAAATCACATCACAAAACACATATCCTCTTTAGAAAAATTCTAGATTCTCTTACCTAAATTCGAGTTTTCATCCATCTTGTACAAACTCGAGTATATGTTGAATTATCTTGGATATTTCTGCATAGAAACTCTAAGACATTCGAGAGTGCTTGAAATACTATAAAAAAGTGCTTCGTTCACGATTTCAGCTTGAATCCATTCAATTTAGAAGTTTTATCTAACATGAAGTACATTAGAAAATATTTATATAACATTATTATGTGCTAACAAACAAGATCATTCTATTCGGGATAAGAAAGGAACTTGAGGAGAACAAAGAGTTATGTGCTAATTACCGACATGAAAATTTGTGGTCTTATCATTCAATTACTTGAGAAACTCCTTTCAGAAGGGTTTATGGAGCTGATGTGATGATTAACATTCTGACTTGGAGGCGTATTTCTTTTGATAAAAACCTCAACTCTGAAGGCATGGATAACTCGACAGAGTTACAGGATTAAGTTAATGAATAAACTCACATAAAGGAATTCACATCCAAACATAAACTTTCCATAGGGTTTAATATCAAAGTAAAACAAATGGGATTTCACAAAAGAAATCTGATGATAAAGAGGATGGTTGACCCCAAGAAGAAAGGAAAGCTAGCTCTAAGTCGAGAAGGGCCTTTCTGTATAAATCAGAGATTGAATAAAGGGGCTTACAAGTATAAATGTTTAGAGGATATTGAAATTCCTAGGACCTGGTATGTAACTAGTATTGAGTTTTATCTTAACTAGGCTATGTAATAAACATCATAAATAAAAATTATGGAAATACACTCTTTTACCTTACAAGGGCAAGGGTTTTTATTAAGGCACTCATAGTTAAAGAAAATGTATTATGTAAAACTGGTAAAATGGTTCTAGGACATGATCCCTAACTGAATTCTAAGTTATATAAAGCCTCTGGCATAAATCAACTGCGGCTGGGCTAAGTAATTAAAAACCTCTGGCCTAACTAAATTCTAAGCTACTTGAAGTCTTTGGTATAAATTGGCTTCTGTCGGACTAAGTAATTTGAAACCTCTGGCCTAACTGAAGTCCAAGCTACTTGAAGCCTCTGGCATAAATTGTTTACGGTCGGGCTAAGTAATTTGAAACCTCTGTTCTAACTGAAGTCCAAGTTACTTGTAGCTTCTAGCATAAATCGACTGTAGTCGGGCTAAGTAATTTGAAACCTCTGGTCTAACTGAAGTCCAAGCTACTTGAAGCCTCTGGCATAAATCGGCTGTGGTCGGGCTAAGTAGTTTGAAACCTCTGGTCTAACTGAAGTCCAAGCTACTTGAAGCCTCTGGCATAAATCGGTTGTGGTCGGGCTAAGTAATTTGAAACCTCTGGCCTAACTGAAGTCTAATATACTTGAAGCCTCTGGCATAAATCGGTTGTGGTTGGGCTAAGTAATTTGAAACCTCTGACCTAAGTGAAGTTCAAGCTACTTGAAGCCTATGGCATAAATCGGTTGCGGTCGGGCTAAGTAATTTGAAACCTCTGGCCTATCTGAATTTTAAGCTACTTGAAGCCTCTAGCATAAATCAGATGAGACCGGGCTAAGTAATTTGAATCCTCTAGCCTAACTGAAGTGCAAGCTACTTGAAGCTCCAGACATAAATCAGATTCGTACGAGCTAAGTAATTTGAAACCTCTGGCCTAACTGAAGTGCAAGCTACTTGAAACCTCTGGCATAACTCGGTTGCGGCCGGGCTAAGTAATTGGAAACCTTTGGCATAATTAAAGGTCAATAAAATCTTCTGGTAAAAAGAGATTTGGCTGAAGTTTAAAGCCTTTGGTCGGGCTATGCTTATCATAGCTATGGTCGTTGGTTCGTTACTTAATCTAAGTTTTATAAGTACTTAGAGTTATGTTGTCACCCCCATAAAGACTTCCGATTAGTCTGTCAAATCAAAGATATGTAAATTGGCCTACCATACTTTTTGCTCCTTGGGAGTTCTTGACTAAGCGACACATGCTTAAAAAATTTTAAGCACTCGGGGCTTTTACAAAGAACCATTTCAAAAAAAATAACTATAAAGATAAGTTATGAGAGACAACTTATAAACACGAAATAAGATATGAAATTGTCATAGATATTACGGGTCACAGTAGGACCCAGATGCAAAACAAAAAGGAAAAGCACTAACTTCTTAAAAATGTTACAAAATACATCCTTATGGATAACTAAAATATTATTCTTCGTTATTATCCTCATCAACAACTCCGATATTAAGGTCAGCAACATCGTCTTGTTTGGTTAAATCATCAGTGGGAGAAATCTTGGTTTCTTCCATGTCCATGAGACGACCATCAGCCATAACATTGAAAAAATCCATCTCAAACAACTCAAGTTCAGGGTAGAGGCATAAGACTTGAGTCTTTGCCCTGTCAAAAGCATCACCACTTGCATCAAGGACGTCGATTTGAGCTTTCTGCAAAGATCTATGCAATTGATCATTTAAGTCTTGAGCTAATTTCATCTCCTCGAATTGCTTGTCAACGGTTGACTATAACTCTTAACTCTTACCCTCCGACTTCTCCCTTTTTATTTTCTCCTCCAATAATTATTTCTCCAGGTCGGATATTTTGTACACCTACATCTTCTATTGTTCATTCAGTTGATTGATTTGTTGGTTCAGTTTGAGCTCATTCTGCTCGTAATTGTTGTTGACCTCAAACAAACCTCGAGTCAGGACAACACATCTCATCAAATAAAAGTTGATGTTTTGGGTCAGTTTCTGCCGCCCTATGGTCTTCACTTTGTTCACATCTTCTGTAGCATTCATATGATCGTAGAGAAACTTCAATCTATCAAATCTATTACTCTAGAACTTATAATTTCATTAGATGGTTTGGACAAACTATTAGGATAGAGTTGGGGAGGAGCAATAGTCAAGGTTTTTAACCAATTGAATTCAAAATTGATAAAAGAAAGATAAATTTTAAAATCCTCTAATACCACCTATTTATAAAAGTTCATACAACGAATTCAATAAATAAAAATCTTATACAAAATTCAATAGACAATTTTTTTTAATCAACTTAGTGTTTTATCCATATTATCTTAATTGTAATTGTAGCATGAGGGTCAAAATCTCAATGTTTGCCATGTGAGTTAAAAACTATACATGGCATGTGTCTCTATCCATCTAACAAATCATCTCAAAAAAAAAATCAATCTAATCTAATCTGGTTGTGAAGTAAACTATACAAGGTGAGTTTTTATAGTCCTTTCCTATGCTATTACATCAAAAGCTTTCCAATGTATCAATCAATCATGATCTTAACCATAATCAATTCTAATATTTACATTTCCACCTAAAAACTCCGAACAAAATCATTTCTTCCAAAAGAATCCCAATACAAACACTAAAATGCACTAACTAATTTGCCATATGAACAAAATCCCAATTCTCTAATTATCATTCTTCATCATTGGGCGCTAAATTAGCCGTTCGATTTCTTTTCCCAGTCCTTAATCTAAACAAACTGTAAATTTTCCGCAAATCTCTAACCGTAGAGAATCCATCCCTTCCACAAAGAGAACCTTGTTTCTGAGATTCCTCCACGTCACTACCCTCTATCTGCCGTACGATCGTATCCCCACTAAGTCTCCCATCACCGTCCATTTGTAACGCCCCGATAACCGATTTAATAGCCCGACTCGGTGAATTTCGATTCGCGATCATCAACTCGCTGATCACCGCCGCGCTTAAACTCGCACCGTGCCGGAATATTTCCTCCACCTGCGGAAACAGCTTGTGGTCCTTCACTCCGAGGTAATTACACGCTAGGGTTTTGAATGATGAGAAATCACACCATGAGAAATGGATATGAACGTCGACCCGACCCGGTCTGAGAAAAATCGGGTCAATATTTTCCTTACTGCTCATGGTGAAAACCAAAATTCTCTCTTCGCCGGAACACGAACTTAAGAGTCCGTCCATGAAATTCTGAATCCCGGCCACTGTAACCGTCAATTTTTCCGTTAGATACCTGTCGAGATCCTCCACGAGGATGATCGATTTCGGCGTTGTTTCGAGTAAGAGAAACTTCAAATCCGAATCACCACGAACCTGTGAGAGATCAACGTCGTAAACATCATAACAAAGAAAATTCGCCATTGCAGCGACGAAGCTCGATTTACCGGTCCCGGAAGGACCGTACAACAAGAAGCTCCGTTTCCACGCGCGGCCGAGTCGTCTGTAGTACGGCTTCGATTTGAGAAACGATTCGAGATCCGATTTGATTTTGTTCTTGAGATCATTTTCCATCGCCATGGTGTCAAACGTTGCCGGATGATTAAACGGAACAGATTTCCATCTCGTTTCACCGTCAGTGACATTAGCGAACAAGCGTAGATCACGTTTCGCTATCTCGTCGGCGACGTCGTGAATATGGCGGAGATAGCTTCTGAGGATTCTCCGCTTATCGGTTTTTCTGATTTTGAGAACGAACACACCGGTTTGACCCGGTTCGGTTTTTTGGTTGAGCCAAAAGAGATTAGCGCCGAGAAAACGGTCTTCAATGATTTGATTAGAGTCTATAGATAAAACGATGTCGTTTTGGTTATGACCGGTAATGAGTTTTGTGAAATCAGAATCTTCGAGAGAAGGAAGAGAATGTAAATAGAGAGAAACTTTACGATATAACTCATTTCGTTGCATGTTTTCGTTCAATTCGGGGACTTTAAGGTATTGATAAACATAAAAACAATCTTGTACTTTTCTCTGGAGTTTCTTGGTGATATATATTAATCCAGTTTTGAATAATAGCCAACGAATGACGAAACAAAGAATAGGAGTAATGAGTATGTAATGAAACATGGTAACAACGATAACAACGATTGGCGTGTTGTTGTTATTGTTGTTTGTGATAGTGTTGGGTTTTATAGAGTTTAGGTGTTTGGGTTAAATTCATGTTGTTGCGAGAGTGTTGGGTAGAGAAAAAGAAGAATTGTAGTTAGTTTTGTAATTTTGTTTTTTCGGCTTTAATTGCTTGCTCTTTTCTGCGAATGTGTTTGCAGAAGAGACAAGTATGTGGAGGTCTATTTGAACGTGTTTAGTATAATATTGGTCTCGTAATTTGCCTTCTTAAATCCCTTTCGACGCGGAATTAGGTAAAATATATACATGGAATGTTTTTAATTTCAAGTTCTAAAATTCAGTGTACATGGAATGTTTTTAATTTTAAGTTAAAAAGGTTTTAATACAAATTATAATTAATTATATAAAAAATTTAGTTTAAATAATATATAAATTTAAATTACATATTTTTTTAGAATAAATTGTAATTAAAATTATATATTAAAGTATTATATATAATATTATATAGTTTAAAGTAAAATTTTAATGATTGAATATGATTTATACTCTCTAAAAACATATTCTCTAATTCATGAATGTAGTTTATAATTTTTTTTTTTTTTTACTTGTCATGCAATAAATATAAATTATATTACTTTTAAAATAATATAAAATTAATTATTTGTATTTTAATACTTGTGGTTGTCAATTACAAATAAATAAAATTAACATATAGAAATTAAAAAGATATTACACCAAAAAATAATGTGTGTATACATGGTTTTTTAAATATTACTTTTATATACATTTTAGATTCTAAATATAATTTAATAATTTGAGGCATGAATCAAACATGAATACAATTTATTTTCAATTTATCCTATTCTTTTATGGTATTAATTATGAATCAAAATATTTCATATTTTTAAATTTATATATAATTTATTTTGTCATTTTTCAAACAAATGTAATTCAAAGTAATTTTATTGTTTAATAGATACAAAATAGTTATATTCAATAAGATGAGAAAAACAAATTAACGACATGTGACGTTATTATATCAAATAGACATGTTAAGTTGAAAAAACAAAATTATCATTTTAATTAATGAATAATATTTTAAAAATAAATAGCCATACAATTTTATGTCAAATTATTAATATTTTTAAAATAAAATAGCCATACAATTTTATGTCATATTATTATTAATTATATATAACCAAGTAATTACATCATTAAATATTTTTATATTCATATAAATATTTTTAATACATAAACTAACTCAGCTTATTAACAAATAACTTGTTGTTATATCACTTAAGCGAAGTTAATATATATTTTTTAAATTAAATGATAAAGAACAATTTGACTAATAAAATAACTTTTAAGAAATTACTATGTAATATTTATTATTTAAGGGATTATATTAAGTTAAGGGACACTAATTAATAATTATGTTTATATTTATATTTTACTTGTGTTGATAAAATTAAATTATGTGTATATAGTCTTATTTAAAATTTTGACAAAATATATCAATTTTATCATACATTCTTATTTCTTAATATTATTTTTATAAAAATAATATATTTTTAAGATTAAATTTTTATTCGATAAATTTAAGAATTTATTAATAATTGTCTAAATGGCTAAGTTATTTTATCATGTAATATTTAGCAATGTAAATTAAAACTGAATAATTAATAACTAGTATTAGCATTTCTTTATCAGTATAAATCTATTATTATTCATAAATTATGTTGTATAAATTTCAAAAGTAAATATCTCTATAATGTGCTTTATTTTATTTTTCATGTTTCTTAACTTTTAATAAATATTTAGAAAAAAATATTTTTTTACATAAATAATAATAAATCAGAAATAACTTTTTTTTTTAAAATAACTATTGTTATAGTTGTCCATCATGAATATAGAAAAAATATTTTAATTTTAAATAATATAAATGATAAATTATTATTATTATTATTATTATTATTATTATTATTATTATTATTATTATTATTATTATTATTATTATTATTATTATTTTAAGTCTAATATACTATTTTAATATTTTAAACTCAATATTTTTAAATGACTTTTATTGTAATGCAGGAGATATTTTTTTGCAAATAATAATGAATTAAATTTGAAACTTTTTTAAAATTAGAATAAATTAAAATAAAGAAAGTAAATAACAAATATTTGGGGTCACACATCTCACTTAACCTAAATAAAGCTACATTATATTTTGGTGTGACAACTATTCTTAAAGTATAGTTTTTATTAAAGTTTATTCACTTTAATATTTTCTAACTTTTTCTTTTTGACTTAATTTAATTAAACACTTTTATATAAAGAATACTTATTCAAATGCTATATTTAATTGATATACGTGTTAAATCCGTTCATAACCATATTATTTTTATTGATATAGAAATCAAAAACAAAATTTTAAAATAATCTCAATTAATTGATATACCGTCAACTTTTATCCTTTAAATCCATATCAAAATTCAATTAGAAAATAAAAGCAGAAACGTACTTGAATTTGTCATTGAAATCGTTGAAAGTTGCGGGTATGTCATCTTCCGATTTATAGAGTTTCTTAGGATTCTTTGAATCTCCTCTAATGGGATAAAAAGAGAAAACCCAATAAACCATATTTTTGGTCTACAAATAGAACCATAACCCATTTAAATAACCCTAGGGTTATTTTTTAGTTTTCAATATTCTAATTTGACCCCTAATCAAATTAGATATTGCCTTATGGTATCTACGTAATAACCTGATCTTTCATGACATTTATGTTTTTAGCCAAAAATCTAATATTATATTAATTAGACTCCTTTTAAGTCTTGACTAATTAAAGTAATGATATTGACACCTTAAATGTTACATTTGTAACTGTTTACCGTCGAAAATGACAAACAACCGCTAGTCCTCCAAAGTTATTAAGTTTTTGGTCGCTCACAAGATTGACTAGATTGATCTTAGGACATGTGTTGTTAATTTAGTTCTTGGTTTTAATGATCACGAACATTTACAATGTTCTTTAAATATTTTCCAATGTTATTAATGGGACGTTGTGATTTTCTTTTAAGTAAGAAAAGGAGTGTAAATTGCAGGAAGATTAAAAGATAAATTGCTTGAAGATAAATAACAAGGAAGTAAATTGCGAGTAAAGATAAATGACTGAAATTTAAATGACTTTGATTGTAAAAAGAAGGTATTCAAACGTACATTCTCTCAAAAACATTTTTTTCTCACACACACAGGTTATGGGAGTATAATGTAGAGTTTTGTACAAAATTTTCTCACTCTAATTCTGAATGCTAAACGTTCTATTTATACTAAATCAAAAATAACCGCCATCTAACAGTTATTTTGCCAGAATATGCCACGTTCTCCATTGCATGCACTTCATCGCCTCAATATCCTTCACGTGTCCTCAGAAATGGATAAGGTCAAAAGGTAGTTATCAGCCCCATTTGAACTCCATCCGTCGAACGCTTCTTCCAATTGACTTCGTCGAACTCCAATCTATGCAAAAATCTTGCTAAGTCTTAGATCATCGTGTCTCCTATGCTAAGACTTCTTTGAATAGATCTTCACCATTTCCCTATCGAAACGTACATTGTTTCTCTCAAATTAATTCTTCAAACTTCAACAGCCCATTTCAAATCTTCATTGCCGTCAAAACATCCTTATCACTATTTATTGTCGAATTCATCATGTTCTTCTTCAGAATATGACCTTGAAACTTCTCAACTTACTTCCAACATTAACGAGTGTCGAAATTCCAACCAACAGTAACCCAAAATTCTAACAATCTCCCACTGGTCACATATGTAATTTTACATGCGTGTTAGACTTTATGAGCTCAAAATTTGCCATTACATACTTCAAGCATATCCAAATTATCTTGTCCATTAATCATGTCACTATTCAGAACTAAAGTGATTTTTATTATATTAATCATAACTAAACTCATCAATAATCACCGATAGTGACACAACAAAATGACATAAATCCATCATGAAATGTGTAACATGAAAATCACATGAAATTGGTCTGTATGTCAATTTTCATCTGACACTACTTTACTTTAGTGAGATCACTCAATAACTTTATTGTACAAAATTTAAACTGATAAATATCAAACTTTATTAATTTGAAAAATACCCAAAATTATAGTATGCATACATAATATCAAACACAGAACATAAAATTTATAATAAACTAACTCCCACTAAATCAAAGACTTCTCTAACGATAAAACACCCATGCAAGTAGTGTACTCATGAAAAACCTTGGGTGAAAGACGTTTTGTAAAAGGATCTGCTATATGGAGTTTGTCCCAAAGTGTTAAAATCTGTCCACTTTGTACCATTTTCTTAACAACTAGGAACTTAATGTCAATATGTTTTGACTTACTCGAACTCCTATTATTGTTGAGATACATGACGACTGATTTGTTGTCACAGTATAACTAAAAATCAGTTCAATTTTGTTGTTACCAATAAAAAAGTTAAAATACAAATTATAATTAATTAAATAAAAATTATAGTTTAAATAAAATATAAATTTAGATTACATTTTTTTAGAATAATTTATAATTAAAACTATATATTAAAATATTATATTTAATATTATATAATTTAAAGTAAAATTTTATAAAAATATGTTTTATGATTGAATATGATTTATACTCTCCAAAAAATATATTCTCTAAATCATGAATGTAGTTTATAATCATTTTTTTATTTGTCATACAATAAATATAATAATATTACTTTTAAAATAATATAAAATTAATTACTTGTATTTTAATACCTGTGGTTGTCAATTACAAATAAATAAATATAATATCTTTTTTATTCTCGTATATTAATTTTGAATGCCTTTAAAAAAAATTATATTAATCTTTTAACTCTTCAAACAATATAGCATGTTAATCTTTTCACTTAATTAACAACGAAAAAATTTAAAATGAGATCGCTAAATTTGTCGTTAATTAG